ATGTATCCCTTCTGCTCACTCTGTACTTTCCTCCTATCAGCGTGCACAGTCAGCACAGCCAGACTGGCTTCTTATTCTGGCATTTTCTCTCCCAGTCCAGATCCATGTCTACAGTGGATTACAGGAAATTCAGATACGTGCAGTAGCTGAATGTAAAAAATATATTTATTTTTATTAACAAAACGACAACTGCATTTATTAGTGTTTTGTGTATCTGCCTGACGTTCAGATTTATATTTACACACTACAAAAGAACTTTGAAAGTTTATTACTGCAGACTATTGGCTATACTGTATGTATCACTTCAAAAGGAAAATGTTTCCTAGGGCAATTATTTCTAGGCTGTGTTTTTGATGCACGGAGTTTAATCAAACTGAACCTGAATACACACAGTGATGTCAAGCCTGTGGAGATATTATCAACAGCTCTGATTTACACAAACAAATCCGATACTTTTTATGGTCATAATAAGGACACCCACAAGTGTTCGGCATTAAAATTATATGTTTACGATGAGAGTGTGTTTACTTCTATCATAAGGCAGAGTGAAGCACAACACTGAGGGAGTTTTTAACGCTGCTTATGAAAAAAAAAGCGACAGCATGGCTTGGGGGCCAGCTTCTCGCAGATGAGTACACAATTCTTTTGCAGTCTGTGCAGGTGCTATTCTAGTGTTCATGCATGCTGTTTTTCCACTGCATAAAGGAAAGTATAGTGCAAGTATCAGTGAACACATATTTGAGAGTCATTATAGCAGTATTCACCTTAATAAAACTCTGAGCTTGCCTGTCTGAATGCCCCGGCATACAGTTGTGTCCGAAGACTTCCTAAAGCTGATGCATGTATGAGCAGGCACCTTTAGCAACTTTATAATATTTGATATAGATACAGTTTCTTCAAAGAATTTTTTTATGTTATGTTTATATCGTTATCTGCCACCCCTCTGCTCCAGCTTTTGTAGGTCCCTTATCTTCTTTACATCTAATAGACCTGTATTAAACATGACAAGGTCATGGGTTCTTAGACAAGTTGCCTGGGAGGACTGAGGATTGGGTGAGTATTTCTTCTTTATTTTCGCCACCCTGGACAAAACAAGCAGTTAACCCTTGCAGTGAGGGGGTAGCTCCAATAAACACAGATCTGTAGATTAGCCACTGGAGGGACTTCTATGTGGCTCAGTGGCATCTCTCTGTCTCTGCTTAGCAACTGTTGAGATAAGATACCAGCCACATGTCCAGTCAGCAGAAATCAGGTGACCACATTTAAGCATTTTGGGTAACATGACGAGTTACTGTGGGATCCTGGAGCAGTGGCTTATCCAGCCAACATACGTACTATGGCTTCATGAATGTAATAAATGTATGGCTGTACAGTGGACTTGTTTTGAGACTAGGTTAATTTGACTGCCTATGGCATAAACCATGGTCACTCCCCTAATTGAGTATAGAATGTAGGTGTCACTTACCAATAGCAGCCACAAGTTTGTTTCAAATTTTAAAGTGTGGACCTCACACTTTCTTAGGACTTTCTGGTGGAATTGATTCTAGCAGTCTACAAAGCAATTCAGCTAATTCTACAGGCTCACCCAATGCTATCTCTTTCCTGAGTACTGTTAGGTACATGCTTAGTGCATTGCTGAGTGCCAGGGAAGAAGGTCATTTGAAAATCGGTGTCTTTGATTCCCACGTACCAGACACAGGACAGATACTAAAAGCATATTTAGATATAGTCTGCAGTGGAAGAAGTTACCACTTATGAACTTTATACAGTCACATAGGGCACTTGACATCCACATTGTGACAGTAAATATGTTAAATAAAAAAATAAGATATAAATAAAAAATACAATTAAAATACACACACACCTGCAAACTCCTAAAGCGCACACACGTGGACACTTAAGACACACATACATACATAGTCCCTATTACACTACACCTACAGTATGCATCTCTACATACTTTAAAATAATTAAAAGGCACTATTTTAATAGATGTAGTAGAAAAACTTTTTAGTGCAAGACATTTATTTACAGCAAGGCATAGATTTGTTTTCCACAACTCTGCAAAACACACATTTTGACAATTACAAATTATTATTATCCCAATGTAGTTTTAGAGTTAGTAGGACACCTGAAGGTTATGTTGTGTTTGCAAATAATGATTTTAATGCATTTTGTACTGTACATTTTGTTTTTATACATGAAAAAAATGCATTGTTCAGCCATAACACGGTATCAAGAGAAAACAGGAGAGGCAAGTGATACATACACAAATAGGAAGAATGTAAATATTGAACACTTGCAGCCAAAGGGGTTGTACATACCCTTAGTATGTGACCAATAAAAACAGATATTTAATAAAACTAGGGATGCACAGATACTTTTCAAGTACCAGTGCAGATACCTGGCATTTTCATGAGAACTACCAGGGTTGCAGCGGTTTCAGCTGGGACCTAGCTCTGGTGCTCCACCACTGTCCTGAAATCATTAGTCTGTATTGTTTTAGAAAAACGGTCACATGACAACAAACAAAAGTGTATCAGTACTGGTACTTGTAAGTACTCGCAAAAATGGTATCTGTGCATCCCTTTATTTATATTTATAAAAACAAAATCGTACATTAAAACAGAGATGTACAAATCACAGGAGCTCCGTGTTGACCTTACAAATGACAGCCGCCTCATAACTTTTGAATTTTTGTCTAGTCTTGGAGCTCAAAAGTATCTGTACTTGTACCAGTACTGTACTTGGTATCTGTGCAACCCTAAATAAAACTATACAACAACAATATGAAGCAAAATGTTTATCATCCAAGCACGATCTGCATGTAGTTTGTATGCTCTCTGCAAACTGCAGAGAATTAAGATATTGCCATTGTAAATTATCAAAAATGAAAGAGTAACTAACCTTGGACTCGTGAGCTAATTGAGCATTATACAAGAAAAGTGGCTTATAGCCATTCTCCAAATATTCAAATGAACTAAATGCATGATAAAGACAACATAAGAACTAAATCATACCATTAAAATGCTCATTAGCTGGATTTGCACTCTGTTTTTTGAGTCCCTTTCTTACCATGTTTACAGAAGATCTCCATGATTTTTAAAATGCTTGTTTTACTCTAGGGGGCGAAAAAAGAAATACTCACCTGATCCTTGGTCCTGCAGTAGTAACTACTCAGCTCATCTCCCCCCC